GGACTCCAGGATCATGACCTGAGCCGAAGGCAGTTGCTTAACCAACTGAGCCACCCAGGCGCCCGCCTTTATTGTTTTTTAAAGATTTATTTATTTATTTGAGAGAGAGTGAGCGAGAGAGCAGGATTCTGGGATCATGACTCGAGCTGAAGGCAGATGCTTAACTGACTGAGCCACCCAGGTGCCCCTAAATCTTTTTTTAAAAATAAAAATTCAGCTCCTTCCTTAAAAATCAAAGTTTTCCTGTCATATTTAGAAGAATATTCTGTAAGCTGCGAAGCCAATTATGAAATAGCTCCAAAAAGACCTCTGAGTGGTCGTAGTGTGGGGTGGACTGAGTGGGCAGTCACAGAGAGTGTTTCAAGGGGACAATATTTATCAGTATTCATGTGACGCAGGAGAAACCAAGTCATCTTTTTATAATCAGGCCTCGATTTTCTACTATTTTTTTTATGTTTTGTTTTTCTTCTTTTTATAAGTTTAGGAGGCCCATCCCATTTCATTCCACCTTTTTTTTTTAGATTTTATTTATTTGAGAGAGTTTGCATAAGGGGGGTAGCAAGACTGGGAAGGAGCCTCCCCGCTGAGCACAGAGCCTGTTGTGGGGCTCAATCCCACGACCCTGAGATCATGACCGGAGCCAAAACCAAGAGAGTTGGACGCCCAGCTGACTGAGTCACCCAGGCACCCTGCATTTCATTCCACCTTAAGTTGAATAATGAACTATTGCACACATTGGTACTGTTCTTTTGGATATATTTCTCAGCGATATGAAAAAATTCAACAGTTAGTGTAGTTGTTGCATAGACCAAAAGAGTTTATCACTCTTCTTGCTTTGGAAATTCCGTCTTAGTGAAAGAATGTTGATATGCAAATTGAAAACATCTTATAGTTTTCTTATTCACAAAGAGGGAGTACCAAGAGAATGGTTCTATTAGAAATCCATATATTGCTCAGCGTTAGAAAGAAGTTTAATAACTTAGCCGAGCATTGCCCGAAGTAGCAGCAGGAATTTTCAAAGGCTGAAGGATTTCTTAAAATTAAAAACTATCCACATATGCTCTCCTCTCCCATTTTAGTAATAAAACATGAAGCCCTGTTGCCAAATCTTCCAGAGCTGTAGTCAGAAACTCTGAGCATCTTCCTATGTTTTGGTGGCAAAGATATTTATTTAATTCAGAAAAGATTTGTGTAAATGTGCACTGAATCTAGACTACTATATTGTAGCAAACGAGCTCTGGAACATTATTAGCAATTACGGCCAATCATTTTCAAGGTTAACCTTCATCTTTTAACTGTACCCTTATCACAAAAAATTAATGGAACTTTTACCCAATGGTTTCTATCACATGAAACAGTGTTCAAGTCAGCCCCATGGCCTAATCTGTAATTCTAGATGTGGCTGTGGATTGTCTTGAGTTTCAATGAAGGTTAAAGTTGGCCTTCAGGTTCCTTTTGTAATTTGGACCTAGACCATGGTTCTTTACAGCCTTTGTTTTTTTCTTATTTGATGGATAGGAAGAAAGGGGCCCAGGGAGTGCACTGGAGAGGATGTTATGGAAAGGAAGTAAATGTACGAGTTTGCCCTCACTTTTGAGGGATGGCTCCCATTGTCCCATCAAATCAGCACAGAGAATAGAAAGGTTTTCTTTCTTAATATGTGAAACGCTCCAAAGGAAGTTCCAAGTATAGGAAAAGCAGCAACATGTACTCGAGAATAACTAAAAATTCCCCGATTACCGTGACAGTTGCTATGAAGGAGCAGAGTGAAGTCACCCCCACCTCAAATATAGCCCCGCCCTAATAATGGACCCCTCCCTCCTGCCTCTGGGTCCTTGATCTTCCTAGATTACCAACTCCTCTTGTCCTTGTAGCTTTACCTCCATTTCCTTGAACCAAACAGCTCAGATTCAATATTTTGAGCCAATGTGGGGGCTTCATGGATCCTCACCCACCTCCTCTGTCGGCCCCTTTTATAACCAGTGGCTCATATTGCAAGATGGATGGAGGCATCTTCAGGCAGGCTGGTGACCCTTAATAGTGCAGCCCTGGGCACATGGAGAAAAGCAAAACTAATTGGTCTGTGTGGGAATTGAACCCCAGGCCTTGGCCTCATTAGCACTTGGTCAAAATAGTTGAGCCACAGAGCAGGTAATAACTGGCCTGAGACTATCAGTAATTCCTTTATTAGAAACAAATGGCGGGTCTGGCCGATGGGGAACCTGAACGGCCAGAGAATCCTGGAAGGCATAATAAGCTCAGTCTGGTTGAAGGGCATTTTCTCATCTCAGCATATAAAGGGTGCTGTAAGGGAACAAAGACGTATTTTAACATTACAACTAGTCATTCTTTCTTCAGTCTGAATTTGAGCAGAAGCCACAACGAGCAAACCACAATAAATTTAGAATTGGCAGAAATCCAAATTGGCTCCTGTTCCCAAGTTGCACAGTTCCACCCCTTGCAGTCGTGGCTTCGTAATGTGCAATCATGTGATTCATAAACTGACTTTGATTTGTGCAATGAGGCATTGCCAAAGTAAGCAAAGTGAGAATTAAGATTCCATATTCGCTAATAGTCCTCCTACCCCGCTGACACTTTAGTAACAAATTCCTGGCGATCATACCTTTAATTTCCAGCTGTGGTCAAAATAGACCTGAATAGTCATCTCAGGATACAAGGTAGGCTAATAGAACAGAAAGAGCCAAACATATACTGGCTCCGGAAAGAGGAAGTCAGTTTCTATCTCTCTCCTGGGGGGGGGCAGCTGTGGTTCTCGGGCATGGACATGCTCAGAATCTCCTGGAGGATTTCTGAAAGCCCAGATCGCTGGGCTCCACCCCCAGAGTTTCCAATTCGCTAGGTCTGGGGTAGATCTAGGAATTTGCTTTTCTAACAAGCTCCCAAGTGATGCTGATGGTTTGTGGGGAATGTATTTGCCTCTAGCAGTAGACCTCAGGATCGCTAACTATGTTTGCTTCCGTCTTTTTAATATTTTTTAAGTTGGTGGACTCTCTGCTCCAGGTTCTCAACGAGAGGGAAGGAACCCCCAGCTGAACTAACCAGGACAACAGGCCTCTCTCAACGAAGCAAAGCAAAACCCTTAAGAGACTATGTTCTACCGGCATCAATTCTACTGGATCATCAACAAGATTTCCTTTGTGCAAAACACTTAACTATTCTTGTACCTTTCAACCTTAACTAAATTCACGCTTTTCAAGCAGCATCTTCTGTTTTGAATTTGTTTGCTGTGGATAACTGTCCATAATGAGTCTTCCAATTAATGCTCTTTACATCTATAAGCTATTTGTCAATTACATTCTAGTCCCCACCCTGTTACCATTCACAATAAAAAATTTAAGCACATTGTCCAAAGGGCAGGTAGTTCTCTTATTTCAATTCCAAGTGAAAGGATGTGGCAGAGATTAACGAACAGCTTGATAATGAGCTTGTGTGCTCACTGGTGAAGGCAGACTGGATTTTTAACTCTCCCTCCTGAAGGCCACTTACTGAATCCTTGTAGTGACTTACAGCCTTTCTAGAGGCTTCAACTAGAAGCTCATATTCCCTTATCCTTACCATTGCATGGGCCAGGCTGAAGGTAGAGGCTTACTCTTCACTTAATAATTCCCATTTCTTTAGCCCTTACCATAGATATTTTGCTAATGTTATGAATAACAGTTTTATAAGCTGAGAATGAGCCTTCTCACTTAATAGATGAGGAAACAGCATTAGAGAGGTCAAGTGACTTGGCCAAGATCATATAGTAGATGGAACTGGGATTCAGACATCCAACGTCACGAGATGTTCTGTAGCATTTAACGTTGTCCACATTACCTCGTTTTTAACCTCCCTTTCAGTATATTTAAGCCTAGCAAGTAGCGCTCTTTCTCCAAAATCTCATTGCCAATCTGGGAGGAAAGTGGCCCCCACAGGCAGATTTAGTCAGCTCCACAACAAAAGGAGAAACTGAATTCGAGAGATTCCCTTCCATTTCCAGAGAACGTGGCCTGGTGGTTGGTATCACTCACCGGTTCCAAATTTATCATGACATTCACACATGAACAGATTTTAAAGCTTCTTGCCATATGTTTAGATTTCCTTCATTGGGGGAAATCACATTTGAAACAGTAAAGAGATTCTCTTGCTCTTGTTTTGATTGTCAAAGAACCACAAAGATGTGATGTTTTCTTTCTCATTTCTTTTAAAACCGTGTTGACTCACAACGTACACAGAGCCAGCCCTGGGGAGAGACACGAAATGTGTTATCAGTGTCCTACCACTGTCCTCTTCCCGGGGCCCTCCTGGTATCTTTCCAAAGAACTCGATCCTGAGCTGTGTCAGCTGAAGTCAGCCAGGCAGCTAAGGATCAAGGAGTAAGCCCTATCACCCGGATTCACCCTCCGAAGGGACACTCGTGAAGATGAAAACAGGCTTCCCGACCCAGGGGAAACTTTCTCGAATGGTGTCGCTTCAGGCAGGGAGGGAAAGGCAATATTCTCAGAACCACCCCGCTTAGACTGTCACTTCTTTGCTTATTGCTTATGTCATAAGAGTAGATGTGATCCTGTGTTTTCGCTGCAATTATTTTTCCTCTGTGTGTTCTGAGAGACAAGAACAGCTCCCTCAAATCTTCTGAGCTTGGCAGGGCTCCTCTGTACCAAGGACAAGTCAGCATTAGAATCCATTTACTGAAGAGATACACTGTTCCCTACTAGAAGAGCTTTCTCGAACCCTCCTTTGCAAGTGCAGGCTTATCGCACATCAAAGTGTGTGCCGCTTGGGTAGGGCAATTTTTAGCTGCAAAGAACAGCATCCTCCTTGGCTGGTTTTAGTAGGAAAGGAAATTTTATGAGGAGATGGTAGGCAGGGAAGACCAGAGAAATGGGCTCGAGACACACTAGCAAGTTAAGCGATCGAAGCCACGCCCCTTATCGGGTTGATGAGGTGGTTAGCGCTCGCCCTGCTATCCCTAAAGCATTCCGAAGAACTGCCAGAATGAACTTGGCACTCTCTTCTCCTGCCTCTGCCAACACGTGTGCTTGAAGTGGTATGTCCCTCCTCCCACAAACTTCTTCAGCCTTGGCTTACTTCCAAATCAGAGTTTTGAACGTCTGTGTCTGATTGGTGGAACCTAGATCACATGTCTGGATCTAGCCTCAAGGGAAACTGGGAAACGTAGTTTTAAGGATTCTATTTTGGGGCTTATGGGACTTAAACTGTGGGACCTTATTTAAAAAAAAAAAAAAGGAGCTGGTGTTCAAATAATATGGTCAGAGACAGATAACATGTCCCCTTCTCTTTAAAAAAAAAAAAAAAAAAGAATTTCCTCTTTGATCTCTTACCCATTCCTCTTCTTGAGGATACTTAACATCCAGCCTGGGATTCTGGGAAAGCAGGAGCCTGGTGGCTGTTTTCCACAGCACGCAGGCCAGACATGTGTGCATAGAGCAAGAAGAGAGATCGCTTTTAAGAGGTGACAGTATTCAGAAGTCCTTGCAGCAAAGCAGGATAACCAGTAGGAAGAATCCAGAAGGGAAGAAAGCAATAATCTTCAAATTTGTTCTTTTAAAAAGTCTTTTTTTTTTTTTAAGTGCTACAGGGTGAATTGCTCAGGGTAATTTGGCAATCTGTGCTTATGATCAGAGGTTCAGTAACACACGAAGCAGGCATTTCAAGCAGAGCAGTACAATTTCTCTAGCCCCACAATGCCCACCTTTCGGTTCCTACTGGGGACATTTGATCATCACAAAGCATTTTAACCCAGCTCAGATGCGAAGGGAGTAATCCAAGTCAATTGTGGGATTTACATTATTCATTTCCTCAGCCACAGGCTGCTTCAATCAGACGCTGTGAAATAGCTCTTCCAGGGAAACCCTCAATGATGAACTATTACCATTTCCGAAGCAGCAAGGCCGTAGTCATCACATGCACTGAAAGGCCTCCTTGCTTCACCTCTTGGGGCTCTGTGTTTTCCGATTAATCACTTCCTTAATTAGACCCAGATAAAACACAGAAACATCTCTCTGTTTCCCCTCTGGTTTTCCTTCCATTCTCCCCGGCCCACAGAAGTCATAGAACATATCACCTGACTGACCACAGAGGTGGCTTTAACCACGGCAGCATTGAGAGTCTCCAAGGAGAGAATGAGAATGGTCTTGGTCCTTCCACTTGGCTGCTGTAATCATGCCCTGCTCGTGCCCCACTTCTTCACCAGAGAAGATTCTGGTGGCTCTCCCCCAGCTCTGTCTCCAGAGAGCCCCCATGGGGGTGGCCTCTCCTCTCTGGAGAAGGCTGGGCTCTCCTTCCTTGGAGGAACAAATGCCACTCTTCCACACTTTGGCCGAGGCCGTGATGTGAGCGCACAAAACACAGACTCCCTGCTCTTTGAAATCTTCCGCCTTTGTCTTTTGGTCGGAACGGGCTGCCACCTGCCCCTCCCCCACCCCCTAATAGCCACATTTCTTTTACTATTAATAAGGAAAAGAAGAGGATGGATGTTGGGTACCCATGTCGGCCATTACAAGATTAAATCCCGGGAAGGGACCACACTGGAAATAGTGGGTCTTGACACTGACACGACTGGAAGACTCCTAGACAACAAGTCACCGGGTTTAATGTGAAGGTGCCCTGCCCTGTGTCTCTCCTGAACATTAAGTGCCAGAAAACCATTGTTTCCAGACCGTATGCTTTCTCTGTGGCCCCACCCATCCTTCATCTCTGAAAACAAGGGACTGCAATAAACACCATGTTTTGTTGATTGGATGTCGTCTTTATTGCTAAAAGTAAACACAAGATGTGATACTTTCCAAATACCCATTGGCAGGTTGTCACACCTGTCTTTATATATGGATGCGTGGGTTTATGTGGACGTGTGGGAGGTGTATTTGCTCTCTTCCGCCCACAGTCCTTCAGGAACAGAGGGACTTGGTAAACCAAGTGGAAGAAAGGAACCTACAGCCTTGCTTTTGTCTGTTTGGTTTTTTGGTTTTTGGTTTTTTTTCAGCTTTACAAAGGTATGATTGACAAATAAAAATTGTGTATATTTAAGGTGTACACCATGATGTTTTGATATACACATGCCTTGTGAAATGCTTACCACAATCAAGCTAGTTAATAAATCCATCACTTTGCATGTTACCTTTTCTTTTTTTCTTTTCTTTTTTTTCATGCAAAGAGTTAAGATCTCCTCTTAGCAAATTTCAAGTATACAATACAGTATTGTTAACTATAGTCGCCATGCTTAGATCCCCAGAATTTGTTCATCCTGCATAACTGACACTTGGACCAATATTTCCCGTCCCTCCCCCACCCCGACAACCACCATTCTACTCTGCTTCTTTAGAGTTCAACTTTTTCTTCTTCTTCTTTTTTTAAAGACTTTATTTATTTGATAGAGAGAGAGAGAGAGAGAGAACACAAGCAGGGTGAGCAGCAGAGAGAGAGGGAGAGGCAGGCTCCCCGCTGAGCAGGGAGCCTGATGTGGGGCTTGATCCCAGGGCCCTGGGATCATGACCTGAGCAGAAGGCAGATGCTTAACTGACTGAGCCTCCCAGGCGCCCCTAGAGTTCAACTTTTTTAGATTCTACTCCTAAGTGACACCATGCAGTTTTTGTCTTTCTGTGTCTGGCTTATTTCACTTAGCACACAGACCTCCAGTTTCATCCATGTCATCACCAAGGACAGGGTTTCCTTCTTTCTAAGTCTGAGTCATATTGGGGCGCCTGGGTGGCTCAGTCAGTTAAGCGTCTGCCTTCGGCTCAGGTCATGATCCCCGGGTCCTAGGATTGAGCCCCTTGACAGGCTCCCTGCTCAGTGGGGATTCTGCTTCTCCCTCTCATGAGCGATCTCTCTCTCACCCTCTCAAATAAATAAATAAAATCTTAAAAAAAAAAAAAAAGACTGAGTAATATTCCATTTCCTCTGCCCACTGCATTTTCTTTCTCCATTCATCCACTGACGGACATTTAAGTTGTTTGCATAACTTGGCTATCGTGAGTAATGCTGCTACCAACATGGAAATGCAGATAATCTCGTCAAGATACGGATTCCGGGGCACCTGCGTGGCTCAGTCATTAAGCGTCTGCCTTCGGCTCAGGTCATGATCCCAGGGTCCTGAGATCGAGTCCCACATCGGGCTCCCTGCTCGGCGGGGAGCCTGCTTCTCCCACTCCCACTCCCCCTGCTTGTGTTCCTGCTCTCGCTCTCTCTCTGTCAAATAAATAAATAAAATCTTTAAAAAAAAAAAGAAAGATACGGATTCCGTTTTGTTTGGGTAGCCAGAAGTGGGATTGCTGGGACACTCAGGAGTTCTACCTGTGGACCTGCTTTCCTTTGCCCTGTGAGCTGACTCATTAAGCTCATTAATGGATGATGAGTGAATGATTGCATCTGACTCTAGATGGAAAAGAAATTTACTGTAGATCTTCAGGAATGAACATTGTACCGGTTACGATATTTTGGCTGTTAGTAACAGAAAACCCTTAATTCAAATTTGCATAAAAGATAAAAAAAATTTATTTTCTCGTAGGGAAGTGGGATTCAAGGTTGTTTAGTACAGTTCAATTTAGTGACTCAAATATATTCCAAGAACGTGGGTTTTTCCATCGTGCCTTTCTGCCACTAGCAGTTCAGATTTGTCCTTCAGATGCCTTCCCTCATGGTCACAGGATGGTTGCTGGTGTTCCGGGTGTCATATCCAGACATGACGACATTCAAAGGAAGAAGCGAGGCCATCTCTTTTTAGGCTTCACCTTATGAATAGAGATAAATCCTTCCCCAGAGGTCTCTAATCCCTCACCTCAGTGATCAGCTGGGTCACATGCTTGCCCTAACTCTGCCGCTAGTGAAGGGAATCTGACCACTGAGTAGGAATTACCCATGAGTCATGTGGTGGGAGTGGCAGGAACCT